AAAAAAAAAAAAAAAAAGAAAAAAGGACACGACAGCCTTTCCTGACTTATTCACAGAGAAACAGCACATTCTTTGCTTGTTTTTTTTTCCTCTCCAAACACTAAGCAAATTATGGTTTTAATGAATTGTTTTGTAAGCTGGATTAATTAAATGGCGTATCGATGTGGGATTGAGATTTTATATAGTTGCTATGGCGCTGTGATAACATGATATAATTGAGCAACTGATAAAACTAAATTTATCCATCCTTATCATGCCAAATTTTTCCATAAATAGCTTTGTGATAAGGAGATCACATTTATGGGTCCGTAATGCTATAATCAAACTATAGATATCTGCCTAAACAGCCAATTTATAGTTGTTGAAAAAAAGCAGAAGTTTATGGTGTCGAAGGTTTCTGGTTTTTCTTGTAGTCTAGTGTTTTAGTTCAGGGTTTTGATTACAACATGGTAACACTACTCAGAGGTACAATTTATATGAACCTGAAGTTTAGATTCTTTTCTTCCTAGTGCTTCAAAATGATTATTTGTCTTGAAGTAGTTTTCTGAAGCATCAGCAGTTCTTTATTTTTAAGATTTTTAGTTGAGAATTCTTTTAATGCAGTGTAAAATTAGACGACATAAAGTGAATCAGTTCAAAGATGAACAGAAAAACAAATTAGGTGTGATTAATTTGTTTCTGTCAACGTATCAGAATGTTAAAAGTGTTGTAAATTGACATTATTTTTGGGTTTTTAGATTTTCCTTTTTTAAACATTGTAAATGTCGCTTCCATTACAAAGTCAGGTGACTGAAATAAACTGTAGAAGTGGAAGCAGCAGATCTAACGCAAGTAAGGGAGTTTACGAGGCACTAGTAGGAATGATTGTTGAATCAATTTTTGAAAAATAGATGGCTTTTTTTTTGTCATAGGCAATCACTTTTGTTATGAAAAGCAAAACAGTGTTTATTGCTTAAAACCAAGGAAAAAAAAATCAGAAATCAATTTTTAGGGCTTTAATTACCTTGCGGCTCTGATCTATATAATAGTCGGTGATAAAACCGTTGCCGCACAACTAATGGTTAACAATGTTTTGCTACGTCAGAGTTACTATGACAAGAGTATGAGTGGTATTCGGCGTGATTCAGTAGTACTCCGAGATTTTCTTCGGTTAGTCGTCAATGTTATTTTGGCTTTTTTTAATGATGTTTTTCTTGTTAGACTATCGTAGATTTCTGTGTTGTCCCTATGAGCTGAGTTTAATGGAGAGGAGGGAAAAAGTAA